CCTGTGCATACTGATGGGCTCAGTATGTAAGACTTCCCTCCTAATTCCTCCCTTCCCTCTCCACAATGAAGAAAATGACAGGCAAATAGGACCTGGACCAGGGACCACCTTTGGCAACATGTCCTCTAATCAGCTGCAAATATTTCCTTCCCTCAGTGCTTGTTTGAAACTTCTGAGGCCAAAGTCCTCTTCAGGAGCAAAGATGCATTTCCTAATCCCCCCTGAGGCCATATACAGAAAAAGAGGCTTCTGCATAAATCTTATCAGGCAAGATACTCCTTATGCAACACCTTTTCACACATTCTGAGCTTCTAACCCAGGGGATCACAGCCCTAGCTGCACACTAGGGACACCTGGGAAGTTTTCTTTCATTTAAAAAATGCCAGTGCCTGTGGATCTCATTCTGAAATTATGAATCAGTTGATTTAGGGTAGGCCTGAGTCTTCTGTTTTCTGTTTGTTTTTGAAGCTCTCTGGTGCATCTGGAATTTTAAAGCACTGCCACATAGGAACTTACTCTAAGTTTCCATTCCATGGTGAGAGGAGAGAGTCAGACTGCAGATAAGTGAATGTGAGGACAAAGAGATCAGGCAGTGGAATTTCATCCTTAAATATCCTGAGTCCTTTGCCATTTTTAATTTGGAAGCATCTCTCATCAGTAGTCTTTCCCTTCTGTAAAGAGAAAATGGAGTCTTCAAGATATACGCACTTCAGAATATGACTCTTACTCTTTTAACTTTTAATAGCTCAAGATTCTCTTAGCAAAATATGACAATAGACTAGATATAATTAAATAGCAAGAACTCTTGGTAGCTTCCCAGTTTCTTGTTCTGTATGGGAGTTAGATGAAATAGCTAGTACTTATCTCACAGAGCCTCAACAATGAGAAGGATGACATTTGTCATTCACATCTTTTTGTACACATTGTAAGACCCCCAAATCCTTGCTGAAAGAACTTGAAACTATTCATTTTGGAAGCATAAGGAAGACAAGTTTCTATTCAGCTACAATCACATTTCTTTGTGATAAGTCTTTCAGAGCTTGTGAGCATTTTAAATTTCAAATGAATGACTTCATTTGTGACAATGGAAATGTTCTGTAGCAATTAGCTTATGGTGCTAGAGCCATACCCTGCTTCTGCTGTCTGTGGGGTCCAAAGCTTGCCAAACTAGCTCATTGGTATTTTCATTCTCTGTGAACTCTAGAAACTCATTTTGATGATAAATGAAATATTTTCAACATAGTGACCATAAAGCAGGTGGCTACACATTAACTTTTCTAAGAAAATAATTACATGCAGGTGGCAAGTTGGAGGAACTCTGTTGCATGCATAACTGCATCCCAGAAAGTTTTTGTGATGTATTTTCTAAGGATAAAGTTATGCATATGACGAACAATGACTTAGCAAAACGGATATAGAACAGATAGGAAACAAGAAAAGTTGATATCCTAGTACATTTCTTGGTTTCTTAAAGTTATTGACATATGTTTGAAAATAAATGTTTTAAAACACACACTCATCATTTAGTTATTTAACAAAAAAAGCTATTTTTCATGCACTGTGTTAATGCTCAATACACAAAGATAAATAACACATGTATCCTGTATATAGGAGTACACAATCTAGGGAAGGAGATCAGCATGAAAATTAATAATTAAAACACATTGTAATAAAGTTAGGATAGCGTGTGAAATTCATTATTGTAAAATTATTATTTAGGAAGCCGTATACTACATCACAGGAATCTCTTTATTCAAAATTTGGAAAGGAATGTCACATAAGACTTAGGAATACTATGTCCTTCTAAACAACTGGCTTGAGTGCATCTTAAATACTATGAATAGTATAACTGGTTTCTCTCTCCTGTTGAATTAGCAGCTTAAAAGCTGAAAGCTAATTTGCAACAAAACTCTAATAAACAAATAGGAACCTATCTTATCAATTCTATTGATCTCCCACCTAGATTCAACTAACTTCACCCTAATTTTTTTACTTTTATTGTTGTTTTCCTAAAATCCTCTTAATGATGAAGTAGCATATAAGAAAATAAGTGAATAGTGACTATAGTCAATAATAACTTAATTGTATATTTTTAGGAGATCAAGACCATCCTGGCTCACACAGTGAAACCCCGTCTCTACTAAAAATACAAAAAAAAATTAGCCGGGCTTGGTGGTGGGCCCCTGTAGTCCCAGCTACTCAGGAGGCTGAGGCAGGAGATCGGGGTGAACCTGGGAGGCGGAGCTTACAGTGAGTTGAGATTGCCCCACTGCACTCCAGCCTGGCTGATGGAGCAAGACTCTGTCTCAAGGGAAAAAAAAAAAAAGAATGTAATTGGATTATTTGTTACTTAAAGGATAAATGCTTTAGTGGATGGATTTTTTTTAAGTGAATAAACTGCAATAAGAGAAGTCTGTTCAAAGTTTTCTGAGAACCCAAGGGGGAAGAATATCACACAGGCGGGGAATGTGCCTGGGAGGGGTGAGGGAAGGAGACACAGGAGAGATAGGAAAAACATCCTCAGAATAATGGCAATAACCACTGCAACACTTCAATAATAGTAATAAGAAATAACTGTACCGCAAAAAAAATAAGCACCATACCTTCATTGTTGAGTTCTCCCTGGGTATCTAAGAGAGATACAAACATTTTAAACATTTCTCTTATCCTCACAGCAACCCATGATGTAGCTATTAATGTCCCCATTTTACAGATAAAGATATTGAAGCTTAGAGAGTTAGAAATGTGCCCAAGATGCCACCTGAAACCCAGGTTGTCTTGCTTCAAATGCTGCACTATTTATATACTGAATCTCGTGGAAAGATAAGAGGTCTGATAGAGGGTCACTGATCAAAGTAGCTCCAAGTATGTTCAAAGCAGAGGGCACATGTGGTGATGCGGCCAAAGGTGAAGCTACAGAAATGAGTGAGGGCAAGATCAGGAACAGTATGTGTTTAAGTAATAGGAAGGCTTCAAAGGATTTTAGTAAGGAAGTTACATAATAATGGAGAAACGAGAAAACAGGCACCAAACTCTGGTCCTTCCAAAACAGGGTGTAGTATTAGAGTTTACAGTGTTAGAGTTTACAGCTCACATGCTTTACAGGCACAGATATTATTAGTTCACTGTGTACCGCAGTCAGGATGCACAAGGCCTTGGTGCACAAGAGCATTACAATAGCATTTTATTTCCATCGGAAAATAATTTTACATAGATGGTTGTACTTTGAACCCCTTACAAATGAGTTTCATTAACAAAGAGCATTGTTAGAAGCACTCCCTTCCTAAACAGCACCAAAGGCAGTTAGAGCAAGGTCCCAGTGCTTCTAAAGTTTCCCCAATAAAGCCTTTCTTATGGATGAAAAATAATAACAGTGATGGTGGTGATTAAGATGATGACGGTAATACAAGCTGCTGCTGATTATTGAGCATGCCTGTACTCAAAACCATATGCTAATATTCATTACTTCACTTAATCCTCACAACCCCCCCAGGAAGGAGGCATTCTGCTGGTATTACAGATTAAGACACTAAGACTCAGGTTCAATAACGCACCCAAGGTCACACTGCTAGTCAAGTGGTAGAACTGGAATTTGAATACAGGACTGATTGACTGCAGAGCCTGTAGGGCAGGCAGCTGCTTTACTCTGTCTCCCATGAGAAAAGAATTAGATCTTACAGTTGACTTACCTTGTTTCTGGGAACTGCTTTGAAATGATCTGATTCATAGTATTGGAAAATTGGTTGTTGAGATGTTGCTGCTTTTATCCCCTTTCTTTTCTGAAGCTGTAAGTGGTTTGTGTTGGGGACGTGCAGGGTGTACACACATGATAAGTATGTGTGTACATGCCAATGTGAAATCATACATCAAAAAGAAAAAAGTGTGCAGAGATTCAGTTTAGAAATAAACACGGCCAAGTCCAGCCTTCCCACTGGACGTGTGATTTAGAGCAAATAATCCGATCTCTCCACGTGTCAGTCTCATTGCCTTTAAAAGGGGGATAATTAGAATGCAAGTCTGTGTTGTTATGAAGCTTCATTGAGGAAAATTATATATAGGAACTGGCCAAGAGTTAAGTACTCAGTATTTGTCAGTTTCTCCTCGATCCCTTCTCTCCTCTTCATGCTTGCCTGCCATAATTCTATTTCAGTTTGCACAAAGAACCAAAATCAATGTATATGCCAGCCCTCTCATGGGATGTTTATATCCTAGAGAAAGAGCAACATAGGCCCACCACTGAAAGCAGGATTGTTGGTTCCTACTCTCCCCACAGCAAAGGAACTCTAAATTTCAAACAGCCTGCTATATAGGAATTCACAGTGTGCTTGGACTATAAGCTCTCAGTTTAGCTGGGCCACAGTTGCTTCAAGCCACTCTGCATCTGATACCTACGAGTTTGCCCTCTCACCATGTAGAATATGAATTCTCCACTTATGATTGATTTCAGCATCAACTGTCCTACATATGCATTCTGTAACTTCTGCAAAGATCTTGGGAGTCTTTCTCCTGAATCCCAGTCTCTCAATCCAGGACTAACTCTAAAAAGTGCAGACTCTGGTTGCTATACTCTATCAAAGAATTTACCTCACATTCATCCTGTTTGATATGGGGACTCTGCAAAGCTCAGGTGATGTTCTTTTCTTCAACACCATTCAGTATAAATTTCATTTCTTGACCACTTATTTTATTGTGTATTAAACTCATCTCAAATGAACATAGTAGACCAGAAAGTAAGTGCACTTTCTAGTTCTTTTAGCTGAATCATGCATGATGTAAATAGAACAACATATGATAGATCCTTTGAGAACTCAGCACTTGTCACAGAAATGTGTGTTGTACACAGGCCAGCCCAGTCAGGAGCCTAACGGCGTGCTGGGTGAGGCACTTGACTGTAATCAGATAAGGTGGCCCTTAATCACCTGCCCTCTATAGAGCCATACGTATAGTCTTTTAAATGACCTTGCCCCACTGTTATCCTAATTGGAAATTTTCTTTTTTAGCCACATAAATAGAAGAACACAGTTTGAAAATCCTGTCCTGGAAGCAAAAAGGAAGCTACAGCAACATAACATGCCCCACACAGAACTTGGAACAAAGCCCCTGCAGGCCCCAGGTTTCCGAGGTATGATACCTGTCAGCATGTGGTGTTTCAAAGGGAAAATTGTCTGTCAAACTGCCTGCTTTTCCAAATATGTCTGTAGCTTGGACCATTTTGAAAATTTGATTTGCTTTCTCCAGACCCTCCTATTAGCTTTAGCTGGATGTTTGCATTCTCTCTAAACTAATGCCTTTAGCAACCGCAGATGAAGTTAAACCTTATAGGAATGTACAGCATGTCACCAGGTGGAGGAGATTAATGGATTTTTATAGTGGCCCTGTAAACTCCAGAGATTCTTAGAGACTCGTAAGTTTGTCCTTAAAAGACCAAGCACAAGAATGAGGCTTGTTCTCCTTTGTGACAGTAGACAACTCCTCATGGACATTACCTAGGCCCAAATCCATCCGCCCCGGTGCAGCCCCGGAGAGGTCGCGCAGCGTGAATGACTTGTCTTACTATCAGCGCGACCCAGCAGGGAGGCCCTGGCTGTTTGGTACGTCCCAGGGCTGCTTGCGGGACCTGACTACACCTGGGAGCCACGTAGTGGGATGAGTTGCTGCACGAACTTTTCACAGCTAGTGAGCTTCTAAATAAAAGCACAAAAGAGTCTTTAGAGTCGGGCGCTCTAGGCTTGCCTGCTGATAATTTTCACGCCATATAATGCAGCATAATTAAATGAATGTAAAGGTCTCCTGATGAACTTCTCTCCAACTATAAACATTAATTTGATAAAGCAAACATAGGAGAAAGGATTATATGTGGTTTTTATTTATGTTTTAAAGAAGCTCTGTTTTTAATAAAGATACACGTGATATGTAAGTGGACAGAAAAAGCAGAAGTCTAATAGAATGACTCATTATTTTAAAGTTTATTACATGTCACCCAGAATGTAACAACAAAGATATCATGCAGAATACTTAACTGAGTTACCATGTACAATTTGGCTGTTACAAATATTAAATGAGATCACCTAAATATAACACATTTTAAAAGAGTAATATAAAATATTTATCTGTGATGGAATTTAAAGCAGATATTAATTCTGTTTCCTAGTATGACTATTATTTTTTAAAACACTTATTATACTTAGGAATATATTTATTACAGATCGTAGCTGGAAAAGCATATTATATAACAAATTAGCAGGTAAATCAATGCAGTGCCTATTCAGATTATTCAGGCATATGATTTGAATCTATCAACATATTGTTATAAAATGTGTTACCTTTACATTCATAATTATATCTAAAAACATTGGCTTGCCTTTTGCTCATATTTTAGAGTATACTAAACACTATCGGAGCCAACAGCAATTTATTTACCTGGTTATCTTTATAGTATCTCACAACAGAGCGGTGTAAACAAAAGTCAGTCCCACATACAGGTACTCTTTCTAAGCAATCTGGACCTTTGAGTGTGTGATCACATTCCACTGTTTCTCTGTTTGTGATACTGCACATGCTGAAATGTGCTGTTACTCACTTAAAAAAATCACAAGTCATTTTCATGTTTCTACCCTTATTTCTTCAAGGCTTAGTGTAGGATCAGCCACTGACACATACCTCCTACCTGGAATCTTTTCTAACAACAAGAGGAACAGATCCAGATGTTGTCTGGATGATTTGGGCTCCTTGTCCTCTTTTCTCAGAAGGCTCTGGCAGCCTGTTCACACAGCCTTTTTTAAGCCCAAGAAGGCTAAATTAATGAGTGGAAACTGATTTGACAAAAACTCTGTCTCCAAACCAAACAGCTTTTTCATCTTTCCCTGGATGCTTGGGACTGCTCTTCATGTGTAGAAAGTTCTAATAGTTTTGCTCCTCTTGTAGTCACCACCTGCTTGCATTTGCTGTGTAAGACCCCCACATTTACCCCTGGGATTGTTGCTGCTCGGGGGCTGGCTTTCTCCTGTCTGAGAACTTGCCTTGAACATGCCTTTTTCTTTTTTAACTTATATTGGCCGATGTAGAAAAACCACTCTTCACCCGGGATGCATCCCAGTTGAAGGGAACATTCCTCAGCACCACCCTAAAAAAGAGCAACATGGGTTTTGGATTTACCATCATTGGTGGAGATGAGCCTGATGAGTTTCTGCAGGTGAAAAGTGTGATTCCGGATGGCCCCGCAGCACAGGATGGAAAAATGGAAACAGGTAAGACCCTTCATGGTTTAGAAAATTGTTTTGCAACATCTTTTTTTCTAAAGGCAAATATAAGGAGCTTCTTTTGTGTTTTTATTCAAAAGACAAGGGTCACTTCACTTTAGGAAAAGCAAAAAGCATAAATTATGTTTCCCCTAAGTTTAAAAATATCAAGTTGAATTAATTTAGAAACAATTTCGAATATAATTTTTGCCTTCTTTTTTAGACTACCCCTTCTATTTGCTGGATTCAATGGTCTCTTGAGATTGACACTTTTCTAATTTATCTCTAGAGTTTGTTCTTAGGGGTGTGATTAACATTTCACACTTTTCTAACTTATATTCAGCCACAGTATTTTAAAATCTGTGTTAATCTTATAATATTCTCATGCTATATAACCCAGGTTAGTTATTGAAATATACATGCCCATCTCATACAGAAAATTTTTAACTGGACTAAGTCTGTCCCCATATAATGTTTTCATATGTGAGTCTTTTCTAGTCCTTAAAAATTACTTTTCATATATAATTACTCAGATGTCTACTCAAATCACAATTGAAATTTATTTCATGTGGAAATACAGAGGCAAATTGCTAAGGGCAGGAACATATAAAAGATGAAAATTACAGACAGTAAATGAAAAAGTAATGAACAAGGTTTGGCTTCACAGTCTGATTTTAAATTTTCTTGCCTGGCCCATGATCTTGGGTAAGTCCCACAGCTTATAAATATTAATTTCCTTATCTAGAAAACAAACTTAAGAAATTAAGTTTGACCTATGTATTTTAAGTGCTGATTCAAGATTTGTATAGTGTAATTTTTTTTAATTATACTTTAAGTTCTGGGGTAGATGTGCAGAATGTGCAGTTTTGTTACATAGGTATACACGAGACATGGTGGTTTGCTGCATGCGTCAACCCGTCATCTACATTAGGTATTTCTCCTAATGCTATTCCTCCTTTAGCCCCCAGCCCATGGACAGGCCCCCCCAGTGTGTGATGTTCCCCTCCCTGTGTCCATGTGTTCTCATTGTTCAACTCCCACTTATGAGTGTGAACATGCGGTGTTTGGTTTTCTGTTTTTGTGTTACTTTGCTGAGAATGATGGTTTCCAGCTTCATCCATGTCACTGCAAAGGACAGGAACTCATCCTTTTTTATGGCTGCATAGTATTCCATGGTATATATGCGCCACATTTTCGTTATCCAGTCTGTCATTGATGGGCATTTGGGTTAGTTCCAAGTCTTTGCTGTTGTGAACAGTGCTGCAATAAACATACGTGTACATGTGTCTTTATAGTAGAATGATTTATAATCCTTTGGGTATATACCCAGTAATGGGATGGCTGGGTCAAATGGTAGTTCTGGTTCTAGATCCTTGAGGAATCAACTCACTGTCTTCCACAATGGCTGAACCAATTTACACTCCCACCAACAGTGTAAAAGTGTTCGTGTTTCTCCACATCGTCTCCAGTATCTGTTGTTTCCTGACTTTTTAAAGATCACCATAAACTGACATGAGATGGTATCTCATTGTGGTTTTGATTTGCATTTCTCTAATGACCAGTGATGATGAGCTTTTTTTCATATGTTTGTTGGCTGTACAAATGTCTTCTTTTGAGAAGTGTCTGTTCATATGCTTTGCTCACTTTTTCATGGGGTTGTTTTATTCTTGTAAATTTGTTTAAATTCTTTGCAGATTCTGGATATTAACCCTTTGTCAGATGGATAGATTGCAAAAACTTTCTTCCATTCTGTAGGTTGCCTGTTCACTCTGATGGTAGTTTCTTTTGCTGTGCAGAAGCTCTTTAGTTTCATTAGATCCCGCTTGTCAATTTGGGCTTTTGTTGCCGTTGCTTTTGGTGTTTTAGTCATGAAGTCTTTGCCCATGCCTATGTCCTGAATGGTATTGCCTAGGTTTTCTTCTAAGATTTTTATGGGTTTAGGTCTTAAATTTAAGTCTTTAATCCATCTTGAGTTAATTTTTATATAAGGTGTAAGGAAGGGGTCCAGTTTGAGTTTTCTGCATATGGCTAGCCAGTTTTCCCAACACCATTTATTAAATAGGGAATTCTTTCCCCATTGCTTGTTTTTGTCAGGTTTGTCAAAGATCACATGGTTGCAGATGTGTGGTGTTTATTTCTAAGGCCTCTGTTCTGTTCCATTGTCCTGTATATCTGTTTTGGTACCAGTATCATGCCATTTTGGGTTACTGTACCCTTATAGTATAGTTGGAAGTCAGGTAGTGTGATGCCTCCAGCTTTGTTCTTTTTGCTTAGGATTGCCTTGGCAATGTGGGCTCTTTTTGGGTTCCATATAAAATTTATGGTGGTTTTTTCCAATTCTGTGAAGAAAGTCAATGGTAGCTTGATGGGGATGGCATTGAATCTATAAATTACTTTGGGCAGTATGGCCTTTTTCACGATATTGATTCTTCCTATCCTTGAGCATGGAATGTTTTCCATTTGTTTGTGTCCTCTCTTATTTCCTTGAACAGTGGTGTATAGGTTCTCCCTGAAGAGGTCCTTCCCATCCCTTGTAAATTGTATTCCTAGGTATTTTATTCTCTTTGTAGCAGTTGTGAATGGGAGTTCGCTCATGGTTTGGCTCTCTGTTTGTCTGTTATTGGTTTATAGAAATGCTTGTGATTTTTGCACCTTGATTTTGTATCCTGAGACTCTGCTGAAGTTGCTTATTATCAGCATAAGGAGTTTTTGGGTTAAGACGAGGGGGTTTTCTAAATATATAATCATGTCATTTGCAAAAAGAGACTATTTGACTTCCTCTTTTTCTATTTGAATACCTTTGTTTCTTTCTCTTGCCTGATTGCCCTGGCCAGAACTTCCCATACTATGTTGAATAGGAGTGGTGAGAGAGGGTATCCTTGTCTTGTGCCAGTTTTCAAAGGGAATGCTTCCTTTTTTTCCCCATTCAGTATGATATTGGCTGTGTGTTTGTCATAAATAGCTCTTGTTATTTTGAGATATGTTCCATGTTTATGGAGAGTTTTTAGCATGAAGTGGTGTTGAATTTTCTCGAAGGCCTTTTCTGCATCTTTTGAGATAATCATGTGGTTTTTGTCATTGGTTCTGCTTATGTGATGGATTACGTTTATTGATTTGCGTATGTTGAACCAGCCTTGCATCCCAGGAATGAAGCCAGCTTGATCATGGTGGATAAGCTTTTTGATGTGCTGCTGGAGTCAGTTTGCCAGTATTTTATTGAGGATTTTCACAGCAATGTTCATCAGGGATATTGGCCTGACATTTTCTTTTTTTTTTGTTGTGTCTCTGCCAGATTTTGGTATCAGAATGATGCTGGCATCATAAAATGAATTAGGGAGGATTCCCTCATTTTCTATTGTTTGGAATAGTTTCAGAAGGAATGATACCAGCTCCTCTTTGTACCTCTGGTGTAATTCGACTGTGAATCTTTCTGGTCCTGGACTTTTTTTTGGTTGGTAGGCTATTAATTACTGCCTCAATTTCAGAACTTTTTATCGGTATAGTGTAATTTTTAAATGCCTTAGAATACTATTATAAAGTATGATAACTATATCTTTAAAGGAATATACTCTTTCACCATTGTCATGGTTTTCACATTTATTTAGTTTATGATATCAACTTTCCAAACTCAATCAGTTCTAGTAGATACAAAAATTAAAGAATTCCTTTGGAGAAAAAGTTCCGCCTTTTTTATGACCAGTACACTGATGAATTGTTCTTCCATGGGTTTTAAAGTGGTTTGTGTGTAGAGAAACAACAAAAAAAAACCTGAGGTATTCATCTGACATTTTTAATTTTAAATATCACCAATGCTATATTACCATTTATCATATAGTTTCTGTATAAATAACTTTTTAAGGTACCCTTATGAGTATATTTGTCACTGCCACTCATTTGTGAGTAATGCATATTGTATCTCCTTAAAAGTTGAGATGAAGTTTCAAAACTAACTCACCACATTTCCAAACACTACTGTTATAAAAGTCATGTGTACATAATTTTCTACAAGAGTGAGTGAGAAAGTGTCCAACTCTGCCATTCATTTGGTGATATTTTTCTAAGCATCCACATCTTCATGTTGCCAAAACCTCACGAACATCGAATTTTCCAGTAAAAATTACCCTGTTGCCTACAATTAGAATAAAAGAAAATTATGGGACTAATTCCGTCTTGGGAGAGGGGAAAGACTCCCCAGTGCTTTTGAACGTCAGTGAAGTATTTCACAAATCCATTTCTTTTTAGAATAAAAATGTAGTTATTTTTCTTTCCACTATTTCATGTTTCAAAACTAGAAAAGATTTATTTCAGTGTAAACTTAAAAGACAAAATAAAAATATTTGCATAGAAAATATTTTTTCTTTTTTACTCATTTTGCTAGTTTGCCACACCCACACAGTCTAAGTTAGCTTTATTCAACCACAAAGTCAAAGCTTTATTTAGAATTTAGCAGATTGTCTTCATTTAAGATCATCACAAAGCAGGTCCTAGGGGAGATAAAAGAACCAAAGATTTAATTCTATTCACCATCTCCTATTTAGTCCCCTATGCATTTAACTTGCTGAGCACCTCTCTTTCATAGTCATTGCAGTGCGCCAGGGCTATAAAGATGGGAAGAACACAGACTTGTTTCTCAAGGCGTTCACAACTAGGAGGGGCCACATGCCCATAAACAAGTAATTGTAGCAAAATATAATAGGTCTGTAATAACCACAATATTGGCACAAAGTCAGGAGAGTAGGAGAAGTGAGCAACAGATGTTTGTTTGTTTGTTTGTTTGTTTGTTTTCTCAAGAGATGGGGTCTTGCCATGTTGCCCAGGCTGGTGGGACTCAAACTCCTGGGCTCACGCAATCCCCCTGCCTCAGCCTTCCAAGTAGCTAGGACTACAGGAATGGAGCATCACACCTGGCTAAGCAACAGAAAATTTTTAAAGTATACTGCTAACTGTATAATTTTATTAGGCTTTTATAGGGATGATAATGCCTCTCATTGGAAAAGAGTTTAATCCAA